AATACACCCGATAAAAATAAAAGAAATACATCTATAAAAAAAATACTATATAAATGCGTCGAATAAAAATAAAATGACTATAATGAAAAAAATCTTACTATATAAAATAAAAAAATAAACTATATAGAAATACATCTGATAAAAAATAAAAATGACTGCGTCCAATAAAATTAAAATGACTATATAAATGCGCCCAATAAAAATAAAATGACTATATAAATGCGCCCAATAAAAATAAAATTACTATATAAATGCACTCGATAAAAATAAACTGACTATAGAAATACATCTGATAAAAATAAAATGACTATATAAATGCATCCAATAAAGATAAATGACTATATAAATGCACCCGATAAAAATAAAATGACTATATAAAAAATAAACTCTGACTATAGAAATAAAAAAAATAAAATGACTATATAAATACATCTGAAAATAAAAATATAAATGACTATAAAATAAAATGACTATATAAATACACCCGATAAAAGATTAAACGAAATGACCATATATCATTTTTTAAGCGTGTTTCACACTCTATAAGTACCGGGAGCGACTCAATGGAGAGGGTTACAGAGTAAGAGGCAACAGCTTACGCAGATACGTGCGAAAGACATCGTTGAACCCTAGACTAGAACAGGTTAAGATTATAGAGATCGGGAAAACATCCTCTGGGGAGTCGGTTTCCTTGAGCAGCGATTAGTGGAAAGAAACTGCTCGAACTTACTTTTCACCAATGGGATATGATTAGGAATTTGGCTGGTTCGCTACAGTGGGCGTGGCATGGCGGGTCTTAGCCGTGACGGCTAGAATTGGTGGAACTGAGGAATATAGTTCGTCTGAGCACTTTCCATGCAAGCTGCGATAGTGAGAGGCTTGTGATGTTTCGTGTGTGAGAAAAAGGGTTGTAGGATGGGAAATATATACGATAAATCAATAAATAAAAAGGGGTAACTTATTTACCATACATCTTTTACCCCACACTCAATCGAGACAATAAAACTAAGATGCAGGGGGGGGGACTGAGGGTCAAAAAATCAAAGAAACCTATAAGGACATAACATATCGCACTGCTGGTGTTAATAAAAAAGTGCTCGATGTAATACAACAGAGCTATTAATTATATATTAATAAATATCCCTATTAGCCCTTACGGCTAGCACAACTCGGGAGTTACATAAACAAAGCAATCTTCAGGTGCAGAGTATAGACTGAGCGTTGTGTAATTTAAATTTGAATAAAAATATTTGGTTAACGCAATGTTGGCAGGGTTCGAATTTATTAAATACAAAGAAATGCATTAGGCCATTTAAACGTAACATAAGATCTAAATTCAGTTTATTTACCAATAGAAACTTTACCTGAGTTCATATTTCAACCTACCCTTTAAAAAGCATATCGTGCTTGTGGTCGTTGTCGTTTGTGTTTGAAGGACACATTCCTGCTATATACCGTCAGTATATAAAAAAAAAATCTAGCCGACTGTTAGATGTTCTCTGTGAACGCACAAAAGACTTTTTCAGTGATACTTACTTTTAATTGTTAATTTTGGATAACCAAAGAATGAATAAGAGAAAGAGAAGTGGGGACAACACCCGCGCTTTTCCCTGAAATTACCGGGTACGTCAGCTAGTATAAAGTAAAAATCACATTTAGATTACGTTGTGCATGAAACCCGGATCGAGATAGTGGTGAGGGATAATATGCATAATATATATATATATATATATATATATATATATATATATATATATATATATATGATAAAAATATAGTAATATAGTTTTAAGGTATGTTACATTTATGGATTAAAGTGATCAATATCAGCGTTAGATATAAAAGTGTCCTCGACTAGTTTCGGCCAACATAGCCATCATCAGGAGAAAAAAAAATCTGCTTGTTAGTATCAGTGAACTACAGAAACGAATGTCTTGATGGAGAAAATGAATTTTTGTCTGTAGTTTTCATTTGTTTTTTTTAATTTTTATTTTTTTAACAAGAATTTTGGTCAATCCTTGTGTTGGTCAAACAGTCTCTTTTAAGTTGTTATTTAAGATAATAGCTGGATGCATTCATGCTGCTCTGAATTCCCTTGGTCATTTTGACAGTTTTATTGGTTCCTGGAAAGGGCATGCATCTCTGTAAGTGAGTGTGTGTTATTTGGTTCTTAGGGAGTGAGTGAGTATGATGTGTGTAAGTGTGTATATTACTATGGGTGTGTGTTATCATTTGGCTCATTAGAGAATGAGTGAGTATGATGTGTGTAAGTGTGTATGTTCCTAATGGTGGGTGTATAAGTGTGAGGCCACATCCGTAAACATGACTGTCTTGTGTGGGTGGGAAATGTGGGTAGGTCATGATTTGTGGGGTTATATATTAATACTATCTATATTGTTAAATTTGTCATTTAGCCCGTCTGGATAACGCGTTTTTAAACGTTGTATCCAATTATTTTCATGGAACTCTCATATATATATATATATATATATATATATACAGCTTGCTTACGACCAGAATTTTTGGTTCTCACCTGTCGAGGTGCAATTGAAATGCACCGAAACGAAGTTGCATCTTTGTAATGAGTAAACTGTTTTTGTCTATATGATAAAATTATATATATATATATATATATATATATATATATATATATATATATATATATATATATATACAAAATACAAAAACTACGAGAGAGAGAGAGAGAGAGAGGAGGCGCATTCGGTGTTCCGAGCACGTCGGATATAACGACGGTTTCCCCCCTTTGCCAAGTTGGACACAGGTTCGAATCCTTTTGACAGCGAATATTTTACATTAAGAAGATTTCTCAAATATTCTGGTCTGTAGACGAACATAAATATACCGTTTAATGAAATAAAGAAACCATCTGCTCAAATAGGGTTGCCCACTAAAAATACGCTTAAGTAATAAAATGTATATTACTTCTTTATATATATATTTACTGTTTTTAAACTACAATTCTACAAGGTTTTCTCTCATAAATTCATATCTGCTCGATGCGTATCCAGATGCAATCAAATGACGTCACACATTATGAGATGGACAAAGACCGATAATTATTTTAAAACATATTTTTTATGTTTATACCTTCTTTATCCTAAAACAGTAAAATCGACCTTTCTAACCTGAAACGCTCCTCTGTGACTCACTCGGTAAATGCACGTCAGGCTAGATGACGGTTCCGTATAGGATACAGGTTCGATTCCTGTTGGAGGACGCATATTTTTTTGAAAATTACTCGGATATTCAGGCCGGTAAATGTTGTCAATACTGTTTATTATAAACAGAGCATTTACTTAAATATTTTATCTATAAAAAGAACGTATAAATATTAAAAAAAAGTCTTAAAATAATTGTCGAACTTTGTCCATTTCATAATGTGTGACATTTGTTTACATTTGGATACGCATCGAGCAGATATGAATGTATGAGAGAAAATCATGGAGAATTGTCGTTTATAAACAGTAAAATCGACCTAGCTAGTAAAAACGCTCCTCTGTGGCTCAATCGTTAAATGCATGCCAGGCTATATGACGGTTCCCTATAGGATACAGGTTCGATTCCTGTCGGAAAATTTCTCGGACATTCAAACCTGTAAATGTTGTTAATACTGTTTATTATAAACAGAACATTTACTTAAATAATTGTATCTATAAAAAGAACTCATAAACATAAAAAATGTCTTTATGTATATATATATATATATATATATATATTTATATATATATATAAAATCAAATGACAAAATACAAAAAAACTACGATGTGACGCGGATTCCTTCTGTTCAGTGTTCTTTCTGGAGAAGGTTGATAACACGTAACAAACAATAAATCACACAAAGCTACAAACTCAACACCGTCAAGACCAAAAGAATGCTTCAGCCACGATCGGAATCTTAACACAGCTTGCCGGTTCCGTTTTTTTGGCGCTGATAACCGTTACCCCAGCCATTATACGCTGCTTGATGTTGGTATTTCCTTTGGCAAGAGATTTTGCAAATGATATTTCCGAACAAACTTCCATGATTACTCCCCGCTTTGATGAACGTGTCAACAACTTTTTGAAGCTACAGTAAGGGATTACTGTATCCGATTACACCCACAGTTGCTGGCTCTTACATAATATTCTCAACTAGCGTTCATGTGCTTGGGGCTAGTAGTCTTACAACGTGCGTTGCATCTTCTCGGAGAGATCTTCGTGACTTCCGCAGTTTAAGTCTTAACTGGGCCGAGTAAGATATATATATATATGTACACTATCTTTATCAGGAAATGAATTCTCTTTGCTTTCACCTGTTTGATGCTACATGGCTTTCGTTTGATTTTCTGTCATTTCGTCCATGTTATTTGTTTCAAATATCTGAAATTTGTAGTGTGAATACTTGTAACAGAAACCGTCTTCTCTTTGTCGTGATTTCATTTAAGCACAGGCGTTGTGAAGACGGAACGAAACGGCGTTATGAGTGAAATTAGCAAGCCTCGTTCAAGTTCTACCGAAATCTGTCATGTCCATTTGGAACAAGCACCCTTGGAAAAAGAAAGGGTCTATTTCTTCTGTTGTCAGCTTTCGCTTCTATTTCTTCTCTGTGCTTTGCCCCTTCAGAAAGATGGCGACCATAGCTCTCCCCATTTTCCTGTCTTTTGTAGTTCTTAATATATATAAGCTCTTCAAACTCGATAAGAACCATCAGAGACCATTTCTTCTTTTCTTCTTCTTCTTCTTCTTCTTCTTTGTGCCTTGCCTCTTCAGAACGATGCCGATCATGGCTCTCCCCATTTTCCTGTCCTTTGTAGTTCTTAATATATATAAGCTCTACAAACTCGATAAGAACCATCAGAGACCATTTCTTCTTCTTCTTCTTCTTCTTCTTCTTCTTCTTCTTGTGACTTGCCTCTTCAGAACGATGGCGATCATGGCTCTCCCCATTTTCCTATCCTTTGTAGTTCTTAATATATATAAGCTCTTCATACCGCGATAAGAACCACCAGAGACCATTTCTTCTTCTTCTTCTTCTTCTTCTTCTTCTTTTCTTCTTCTTCTCTTCTTCTTCTTTTCTTCTTCTTCTATGTGCATTGTCCTTCGGTATATGGACAATAATGGATCTCTCCAATTTCCTGTCCTTTTTAGTTCTTAATAAATGTTATATTTTTGTTATATCTCTTAAAGTTTGTTCTACCTCCTATTTAATCGCTTGGTACGTTATGTGTTTTTCCACTGGCCTACTTGCCTTCAATCTATCTTGTGAGTTTCAAATTTTCCAAGTCATTTTTCCTCATTATGTGCCCTAGATCAGTCATTTCAAACTCAGGGCATATTGAGGGCAGCATCAGCCATATCTGCAGCCTCAAGTGTCGCACCTGCTTACAGTCTTACATTAATCACAACTAGTGGTAACTAAACTTTAAATACAAAATACTTAAAATACAAGGTAGTAAAATCTAATCATTTTTATGTTATTCTGATGATTTACATCAATTTATACAGACTATTCTCGATATATCATGTTGGAATGTCTGTGTAGACCGCACTTTGATCAAAGATGACAAATGTTCTGTGAGACGTTTTTTGTGGCCTTCATAAACGAAGATAACTGCTCACAGACAGATGTGGAACCAAACATCACCCTAATCTTTGTGGCAAATTTTCTGAAGTTCTTAAATGTCAGAGGAAGGTATGAAAAAAATCCGGGTACCCCTACATCTAGGTACTTTTCCCTTGAGTGTTGAGTCTGCATTTCCAGTAGTTCCATCTGTAAACTTTCCTCTGCCTGAGCAATATCAAAAGTGAATGGTGCTGAGAATAATGCAAACTGATCTCCACAAGATGAAAAATCACAAAATCGTCGCTGAAATTCCTTTGACAAGAATTCCAGTTAATTGTCGTGCTTAGCAAAGATAAATACAGACCCAGTATTGGCAGTTTTTTTCAACTCCTTGCACATAGAAAAATGAATCAAATTTTCATGTGACAACTGGGACTCCAATAAAGCTAATTTTGCAATGAAACACTTGATATGATCCTATAACTGAGTGATAAGCTTATTTTTTTACCTTTTAATATCAAATTAAGGTCCCTTAAATGGGCAGTAATATCCACTAAGAAAGCTAGATCTTGGAGCAGGCTTTCATCGTGCTTTGGCCCTTCATCTCCAAAAAACATAACAATTTCGTGCCGAATTAAAATAAATCTTTTCAGTACCTTGTGACATGAAAGCCACCGAAATTCTGTATAAAATGGGACATTTGTGAACTGATTATTCACATCTTCCAATAACTGGCTAAACTGATGGTGATGCAGCGCACGACCTCTCATATAGTTCACTGTTTTTTATGACAAAACTCAGCACGTGATCTAATTTTAAAATCTTAGAACATAAGTTCTGTTGATGAATTATACAGTGAAATTACTTGAATGTTGAATCTGGATATATGTTTTCTATTGTTGTACCTAACTTGTCAGCAACACCATTATGTCTTCCAAACATATTGGCAGCACCATCAGTAGATAAACACACAAATCAAGGCCATACTAATGGTGAAGGTGCTCAGCTTTCTCAAAAATGTCCTGGATTGTTGTCGTATCATGCATTGGGAACAGTTCAATTAATTCTTCATTTGAAATTCATTGTCACAAACTCTGATGAAAACGGCGATCTGTGCTATTCGAGCTATGTCAACAATCTCACCCAAAGCCATAGAAAAATGTTCAAAACTTGATGATAAAGTTTTCAACTGTCGACTCAAATCACCTGTCATTACATCAATCCGTTCAGCAACAGTGTTCCTGCTTAATGAAATGTCTTGAAATAAATGTGACTTCTCTGGACATACAATTTCAGCTGTTTTTACAAGGCTTCGCTTTATGAAATCTCCTTCACTGTAAGATTTTCCACTGATGCCGATCATTTTGCAGAGTTCAAAGCTTTGCAGTAACAGAACTAACGTTGCCTTTCTGAATTTTTGTAAAGCAACTCCGTTGCTGTGTTAACCTTGAATTCCTCTACTTTTGAAATACGCATATCTCCTTCATATTTATCATAAGATCGATGGTTTGTTTCATAATGTCTTTTCACATTATATTCTTTTGGCATCGCAATGCAGTGGTTGCAAATCAAACAGTTTATCTTTTCATTAACATTGGTACAAAGGTACTGAAATTCCCGCTTTTCTTGAAACACACGTCCATCTTCAGATAATTTTCTCTTTCTACGAGATGGAATAGAATTCGACATTTTTAAGGCAAAATATTACAAAATTACGAACGTTTTCACTTTACATTTTCTCTTATATAGTTGTCAAGGATGATCACATAATTAACCGGAAGTTAAAAATAGACAAAATTCTCGTTATACTACGGCTATAGAAACCTTTGTGAGAGCCGCCAAGATGCATGTAAAAGGCAGCATGCGGCCACCATTTTGACACACCTGTCCTAGAATATTTCAATTTTCTCTGTTAAATACAAATGTCCTTTTTATTCCTATTTTCTCTAAAACCTGGCCTTAACACTTAACTTGGGTTCATGCTTTGTGATCACTCTTCTGTAGGCCCACATTTCTGTTGCCTCAAGTGTCTTCTTCATCTGTGAGGAGATTGTCGAGCATTTCCCACTATATTGGAGGACATATATTACATAACAATCCTGTACTCTTTTCTTTTGTTTCTGACAAAATGTGTCTGTTTCTCAATATTTTGCTTGGCTTTTGGAATCTGTCTTTCGTTATCCCGATGTGCTCACTTTCTATACTCTTAAAAAAAATCCCAGATATTTAAATTGTTATACTTAACGGGTTAAATAAAGGGACTGAATTAGATCTGTAAACCTCGCTATGAGAAATAAAAAAAATGTTTAGGTGTACTACTGGCGGGAAATCTAGAAGTACATTCCTTGGATCGAATCTGAACCTGTTAATTCCATGCAAACGTTTTTTTTTTTCCGCCAGCTTGATCCTCGACAGGGAAATTCACAGAGTGGGGTTGAACATCAGCAGCACACTCTGTGTGTGCGAGCGTGTAAATGTGTGTGCGTCCCGGAATCCATTAGATTTGTAGGGGTACTACATCTACTTCCGTCATCTACTTCCGTCATAGCAGAGCCGGTGTATCAAGGACAAGATATTCCTTTCAAGTCTGTTTATTTTATTCAGAATTTTCCTTCTCTTAGTCTGGTTGTCACCACAAACCAAAAGAAGTCACTCAGTTCTGATATATATATTTTTTTATTTTAATCAATTCACAGCAAGCAGTTGATAATGTCACTAAGACGCAAGGGACTACTGGGAGTGAAAGAGAATGAAACGCCTTTAGAAGGAACCGGAAACCCAATCCAAAACAGATAAAAAGCGATACACCTCCAAAGGACTGGGGAAGAGTTTGAAACAGACGATAGGCGGACCTGTATACTCCTGGTGGCGGGTCAGCCCTTTACTCATTTAAAAAAATTGAACGCACACGGTATTACTGAAATGAAACAATTCTCATAAACGACAATGGTACTGTAGCTTCATTTGATAACCAAGTAAACAATTTCATATCCCCCCCCCAAAATAAGATAAATCCTACCGCCATTTTACGAATATCTACGGATAAAATAATGAATTGCCACAACGTTATATATCATAAAGACCGACATTCTTAACTAAATATTAGAAGAAATGGAACTAAAGATAAACAGTGATCTGGAATTTGAATGAAACTTGTAATGCTATGTACTACGAATCCATAATAAAAATTCAGACTTTGAAATTATTACACTATTTACATTATTCGGACTAGTGTCCTCATCGGCATATTTATTACAACGTTTTGGCCGTTATACGCTCCGGTCTTCTTCAGGTGGTTGGAATGTCGAACTGAATCCTTTATTTCGCTCACTGGGGTAGACTGTTCTAGTTCCACATGCCATGTCTAATAGATGTCAGTTATCAGTTATCTCCTGTTAATTCCCCTCTTCAAGTTCTCCACTGCCTTAACCAGGTATTGAACTCACACACTTTGGGTCCTGTCACTGGATCTAACCAACGCCTTTATCCACTGTGCCATGTGTCCTTGGCCGAAACGTTGTAAAAAATATGGCGACAAAGAGGAGGACACTAGTCGGAATAATGTAAATTCGGTACATAATACCTCATCTCAGAAATGTAGACAGATACTGTGGAATTATTAGTACGAAAAACTTCAAATAATTCGGTGTATAGATCGGTTATACCAAATTTAGTATAGCTGATAAGGAAAATGAACATTGAATAGGTTGTGTTAGAGGTAGTTTCACATAACATCGTAGGATGCTACTAAAACAAAACACTAACGTAAGAACTCTTAAACAGCGGCGTTAAATCTAAATTCTCATATGTCTGTATAGCATGTATTTCGCCGAGAAATATCTAGACCAGGGATCGTCAACCATCAGCTCCCGGGACACATCTAACCCGCGAATGTTTTTTTGTCCTGCCCGCTAACTTAACACCTGGACACAAATTATCTATTTAATTTGTGGAGCAAATGGAAGAAATAATTATCAGTTCAAGTTAATTTACTTACAATGCTATGAATTTTTTAAATCAAAATTTCATTCCGAGCCCGTTGCTGACTTCTCCAAAAAAATATGTTTTACCAAGCAGAAAATATAAAAGCTAATAATATTGCAAAAATGGTAACATCATTATTTGGAAGTTCAACTCGTGAACAACTTTTTAACGAAATATACTAAAAGTCGCTTCTGAACAAGATTGGGTGATGACCATCTCGATAAGGTTTTGTTCCTGTCACCGACAATTATTTCACCTGAAGTAGTGAAGTTATAGAACATTATGCAGAAACAAGTGTCTCATTAAATAATTTACCATTTCTCATTGTATTTCGTATGTATTAGGTTAGTGCAAAAATAATGACGTAATAATGTCGTTTTTTAACGTTAAAAAATACATCAAAAAACGACATTATTACGTCATTATTTTTGCACCAACCTAATAGTGAAGAATTTGTATTTTTGTTGATTGTGTTAGTTGTGTTGTTATTCTGGCAGTACAATAAAGAAGACTTGTTAAATAATAAAACATTAACTTAACGTTTGTTTTTTGTTTTTTTCTTTAAAGCTCCAGACCAAAGCAGCCTTTTGGTCAGAATGGTCTAAGGTCGAGACAATTTATTACATGAGATTTGATATAACAGCCCGCTTCGGCGCCAGTGCATAGGTTTCTGAACCTCTCTCTCCAAATGTTTGCTGAACCGTGGTCTAGACTATCATCTATACACAAATCTCTACTCATAGCAATTATTAAAAATGCATTCAAGCGAATGAATCCTGCAGGTGTTACAGAGGAGCACCATTCCTCAGATCTTATAGACTAATGCTAGAGAATCACAAAGAGATTTACCAAATAATAGGTTGTCCCAAAAGTTCGTAAACACTTGCGAAAAATTGAATTTTTATGCAACCCAATCCAGCACAATCGAGACAAGCGATGGGTTCAGAAAGGGCAAAAGACACCGTCGGTTCCAAAAACAAGATCGATTCGGCAAGAAAGTCATGTTGTGCGTTTGGTGGAACTTTTTTTTGAATCGTGCATTTTGAGTTGGTTCCGAATGGTCGTGCCATCAGTGCCGAACTTTACTGTCAGCAACTGGAGCGGGTCTACGAAAAGTTGAAGCAAAAGTACCCGGCTCTGATCAACCGAAGGCGCGCTTTGATACAGCAGGACAATGCCAAGCCACACACCGCCAGGAAGACCAAAGACAAGTTTGAAGAGCTGGACGGCGTTGAGGTTCTGCCACATCCAGCCTACAGTCTTGACTGTGCTCCATCAGATTACGGCCTTTTCCGCTCAATGCAACACTTTCTGAAGGGCCACCGATTCGACCCGTTTGATGAAGTCGAGGAAGCGTGTCAAGAATTCTTTGATTTGAAGCCGGCTGAATGGTACTTTCACCAGATCCGAAAGCTTGCAGATCGATGGCAGAAAGTCTTGGAAAATGATGGTCTTTATTTTGAAGAATAATTTTTGTTGTTTTTGTTATTACTTGGCGAGTAAAATTTCAGTTTTTTGCAAGTGTTTACGAACTTTTGGGACAACCTAATAACAGACAACCACATCACTTGAAGACTTTCAACAGCAGCAACAACTAAAATAAATAGCACATATAACTAGAAAGGTTTTTTTTTAATTATTTATTATTAGTTTTGTTATTTCAAGATGCAAGGCCAATATCCCCAGGTGAACCGGAGCCTACTGGGTTTTTGTAATCGTTTCCCCCCAAGCAAGGCCATAAAACGATTTTGACGCATGGAGTTATCGTGTGTGAAAGAATCTGAGAAAAAAAGCATTATTTAGGCGAGAGGACAATAAAAGGACATGAATTAAGAAAACAGAATATAACGATTGATATTGCATATAATTTTTTGAAGATCAAAGTTGTTTTGAAAACTGGAAGAGATTTCCACAAGTAAGAAGTGTGATAGAATAAACTGTTAGCATGGAACTTACTGTTGCATCTAGCCATTTCAACTGTAAAACGATGAGACCTATCCGGCAGTCTTAACCCTTTGAGCCTTGGCCACCGCTTTATCGGTGGTAGAGAAAAATGACGTAATGCCAAGTCACCGGTTGAACAGTGGTAGAGAAAAATGACTTAATACCCAGCAACCGGTCGAATGGTAGGTAAACACTTGTGTCGTGTTTTGCTATTGGTTGTCTTATTTTGAAGAGCCAATCAGAAAAGTCGTAATATTCTGATGTCATCGAACGTTATACCAACATGTCTACGCCATTTCATATTGTTTTGTGCATGTGTTTTGGTTAAAACAGGGCAGCAGATCAGGGACAAAACGTGAGAGAAAAGTACTCTACAGAGCGTAGCAAGTAATTGATATGCTTTTCGACTAAGGAGAAAGGTTAAAATTGTTCCGGAACGCAGAACATCCAAAGGGTTAAAGTATAAATTCATAAAGTTGATGTAGCAAAATGAAAGCTCGACTTCAGTCACTTTTTCACTGTCGTAACGTAGCCTGTGACTTTTCTATAAACAATTTCATAGTAATTATTCATATGAGCTTAAGGACTGTTGTGGGGCTCTCCCCTTTTTACATAAGATGGACTCGTCCAAAGTATGCTTATACTGACAGAGAGAATACCTACGGTTGAGATACGTCGAGATACTGTCTCGACGTCTGTCGAACTCTCTGCTTTGGCAGAGAGGAACCCGGACGAAGCTTTGCCGAAGGGCAGGGTTTCGTCCGGGGAGGTAGACAGTCCCTGAGCCCGTCTAGGCGGGTTCAAAGGGTATATTTTTGGCCGAGCCTACGGGCTCGGAGAAACCCACGTTAAACTCGGCCCTGTGTCACATACATTCCTCGTGGGGTCGGACTGTTAAATATTGAGACACGTTGAGATACGTGGAGATACGTGAGACAAGTTGAGAGATACGGAGACAGACACAGGGTGTTCTCAGAGAGTTATACAAGAATCCAGAGAGAGAGAGAGAGAGAGAGAGAGAGAGAGAGAGATGATTACGGCTTTACTTACAGAGACTTGTACATATACTTTCTACTAAGCCGCATTCCTGGACTACTAATCTTCAATTCAAGTCTGTATTCTTACGTTTAATACACTTATTTTTCTATCTTATTTACTGGCGTTGTTTATTTATTTGTGCAGGATTCCATCCCCGGAATCCACAACAAGGACCGACCTTTAATTTCATTAGCAGAAGCTACAGACCACATGTGACAACAATATTCAATGCATGGACGAATGCTAGAGTTATAAATGTGTCATATACATTCTGTCGGAACATTTTTCTAACATATGGTTCTAACATATTTTACCAACTTTCCTAGCAGGAAACCTAGCAATTACTTCAATATAGTCACTAAAAGATTAGAAAGCGCAATGAATCCCTCTCCAGGAGATTAGAATTAGTCGGGCTGATAGAAAAAAGAAAGTTCTCTAAGATCGTTAAAAAGATCAGTTTGTAGAGAAGTTCAAATTAACAAGCCATTTCTTACACCAGATAAAAACAGCTTAAATCTAAATATTTGCCCCGAAATACCTTTTGACGTGTCAAGAAAACAAGTCAACCAAACCGTCAAATGTTTTCGTGACATCTAAAGCAACAAACCGAGTTATACTGTTCTTCTCTTGACAGGATCTTTTAGGATGAACCGTAAAATACATCAGCAGTTGATCTCGAGAAGCGAAAGCTATACAGCTTATCTGAAAGAAGATCCTGCGAGGAAAGATACTTACCGAATTCGTAGTTGATTAGAGACTCTAGTATTTTGCCAACGGTTCGCCCGAGTTTGTAATAATCAACTACAGGAAACATTCCTTTAGGACTATTGCAGGGATATCATCAAGTGTGCATGTTTTATGGGGATACAGTTTCAAGATTTAAGCAAATGAATGTAGTTATAACGATTTTCCAAGCATAGCTGAGATGTTGTACAAGGCCAAACGTAGGGGGCATCCATTGAGAATCGAACTCACTATTCAGTCGCAATTGTTCTAGCGAGACAAGCTTTCTGACTATTATACCGCCTCCAGGTGCACTGAGTTTCCCAGCGTAGCTTAGATGTGAAAGTATGGGGCACCAGTGAGGATCGAACTCACAACTCAGTCGTATTTGTTCTAGCGAGAAAAGCTCGCTAACCATTACACCGCCTTGAGTTCACAGTTAATATCTATCTATCTATCTATCTATCTATCTATCTATCTATCTATCTATCTATCTATCTATCTATCTATCTATCTATCTATCTATCTATCTATCTATCTCATTCTGTTAATGTTATGACCTAGAAAGGGTTACTGAAAGAGTAATAACCAAAACAGAGTTTGGAAATGAAAATGGTAATCTTTATAACATCAACAAAAGCGTGAAGTAGGTAAATAACTTCTAGTGGTGGACAACTTAGACAGCGTATTAACCCCCCGACACACACACTTAAAATAGTGTCCAACTTTTACGTTAATGAATAGCGAAAGTGTCCCGTAAGGTGACGGTCATTTTCACCATTACAATTATCATATATCTGAAATAGCCTCAAGACATTAGTGCTTAAACCATAATAAAAACTCCCCACCTTATCTTTGCCAGAGATGTCATATATATATATATATATATATATATATATATATATATATATATATATATATATATATATAATATAATATAATATAATATCCCATGGTTATAATTTATTACATTGGAATCGTAATCACGATCCAATTCATCTATATCTATCTATCTATCTATTATATATATATCTATATATATATATATATATATATATATATATATATATATATATATATATATATATATATATATATATATATATATATATATATATATATATATATATATATATATATATAGTTAAGTAAAGAAAATCTTGATAATCCGTATGGATAATCCCAAGGAGGATGAAACCTGAGAGCTCAATGTTAAGTCTTAGCGGATAATTTAATTTAAAGAATATATATATATATATATATATATATATATATATATATATATATATATATATATATATATATATATGTATTCGAGCGTACGTGTAAGACCTTCCAATAATGGGGATAGAAGGAACGGGAATATTAACGCTTCCTGAACAAATTGTTGGCATTTCGTTCCCATTGATGGAGAACTTGATTTCCCTAGCCTGTCTCGTTCATTGAGAATAGACGGAGGCGTTTAGCGTGAGTAATTTTCATTCCTTCCTCGAATGAAGGCCCTTTGAAGACAAACCTTGAGTTGTGAGATTTCAACAATGAAATTAGCGCTACATCAGCCATGAAGAGGGCCGATTGAAAGCACTTGAATTCCCTGAGCGCTCTCTTTATTAAGGGCCAACTGACTTTATCAGTTCTTAACTTTTATCGACTGAAGGGCGCTCACACCTGGATCTGCCTATAATGAGTGATTTCGACGCTGGATAGAACGATACACTGCACGTAAACGCCTTCATTTAAAAACAGTCCTTTCCCTTTTATACAATAGTGTCTTCTCCAACAGGGGTCATCAGCCTACGGCACGCGTGCCACACGTGGCATGCTAAGTAATTTCCAATGGTACGCAGCCGCAAAAGACATTACGAAGATCGAACCAATAATTATTACAACACAAGCTGTTTCAGTTTTAATATATACTAATATACAGGGTGTTTCAAAAAATTTGATATCCTTTGAGATATCACAGAAAGTACATGATTAAGGCAAATGAAATTAAAAAGTATTAATGTTGAAGATCATAAGATTTATTCTTCCAAATCTGAATGAGAAATTCAAAAGCATGTGGATTATGTGAATGATTTCACAAATGTTCAATATGCGAACCGCCTGAGACACGGCATTTTTATACCTGTAAAGAAAAAGATTAAAGATTAAAGAATATAAAAATACAAATAAGAAAACACAAAAACATAAAGACATAAAAACATAAACAAACATTAAACATAAGATGCTATTAAAATTTGAAGTCATTTGAAGGAGATCTAACAAAGTTATTAGATTGCGAAATGATATCAAATTTTTTGAAACACTCTGTATATATATACTATATATTACTATATAAAATATATTGTGAACAGGTATATTGACCTTGACTTGTATAAAAATACGTCTGCTGTTGGCACATTGGATGATTTTAAAAGCCTAAGTCGGCATATAGTCAGCAAAAGGTTGCCGACCTCTTCATTATACAATCCGCACATCGGAGAGAAGGAAAGACAGAGAAGAAAGAAAGAAAAAAGAAAGAGGGACAGAGAGAGAGAAAGAAAAAAGAAAGAAAAAGAGACAGAGAGAGAAGAAAAAAAAGACAGAGAAGAAAGAAAGAAAGAAAGAAAGAAAGAAAGAAAAAAGACAGAAGAAAGAAAGACAGAGATCAAGAAGAAAGAAAGAAAAAGAAAGAGAGACAACGAGAGAGAGAGAGAGAGAGAAAAAAAAAGAAAGAAAGGAGAAGAAAGAAAGAAAGAAAGAAAGTCAGAAGAAAGAAAGACAGAGATCAAGAAGAAAGAAAGAAAAAGAAAGAGAGACAACGAGAGAGAGGGAGAGAGAGAGAGAGAAAGAAAGAAAGAAAGAAAGAAAGGAGAAGAAAGAAAGAAAGAAAGAAAGAAAAAAAGAAAGAAAGAAAGACAGAAGAAAGAAAGACAGAGATCAAGAAGAAAGAAAGAAAAAGAAAGAGAGACAACGAGAGAGAGAGAGAGAGAGAGAGAGAGAGAGAGAGAGAGAGAGAAGAAAGAAAGAAAGAAAGAGACATAGCAAAAGGTTGCTGACCCCTGCTCTACAATACGCGATTTCAACTCGATTCATTTAAATAAAACCAGTCACTTTTCAAACTTTAAGCAATCACGGGTCTCCATAATTTAATTTTCTTTAATATTAGTAAATTATGGATCGCCTTGCTTTTTCTTTGTGGAGGGGGGGTGTTATGGTCACATCACATTGAAACACCGGGTCTAGAACGATCATTGAAGTTAAGCAAAGTCGAGCCTGGTCAGTAACTAAATGGGTGACCGCTTTGGAATACTGTAAGTTTGTGTGTGCGGCTGGGGAAATGTATAATGGTTCGGAATTATTAATCAGAGGGATGAGTTCCAATTCCAGTTGGGTTCGTTATTTTCCCTTACGCGCAAATAACCTTGGGAAACGTAGGAATCCTCCTCTTCTCCCACCAGCTACGGATTAATTATTAATTTATCATTAAACCATTATTAACTTCCAAAACATTCTTACAATTTAAAAATATTTTTTGGCTTTAAGTGGCCTTCAATGTGTTTATAAGCTGTATCTCATATACGTAAGTTAAACAAAAGTCTACGTTCTTCACCCCCAGAAAGAAAACAAAAATTCTACAATAATGAAAAAAGATTCTCACCCTCCCCGGAAAGAAAACAAAAATTTTATAATAAGAGAAAAAGTACAACATACAGGACAAATTATGACGAAAATCGAAGCAACTATAAACCCCTCCCCCCATCAACATGTTATCGATGTGGAGGACTAGATTGGAACAAGGATTGCCGCTTTAGATATAAAAAAACTGTCTTGAGTGTGGAAAAAAGGGCCACAAGGCATCCCAATGTAAGAATAGAAAAGATACTAGTAGAATAAGAGCTACTAGGATGCATAACAAAGACAACACCGACATAAGGAAATATGTAAATGGCTTTAATGTGTTTATAAGCTGTAAAAACGAATCGATCAAATCTTTTGTTTTAGGAAAAGATGGTTGTTATGGGGTCCACCCCTTTTTCATACAAGTGGACTCGACCATTGTGTACTTGTACTGCTGGCGGTGAATACCCGGGGGAGATACAGTGATACAGTGAGAGAGTGAGGTAACCGCTTTGTAGGAGTCACAGTTGCGAGCACGTAGACTCAGAAGGAAGTCCTTCTTCGATACTGAATTTCCCAGACTATCATTATTGTTACTAACCGCATTTCTGGATCAACTGACCGTATTGCCAATTGTATAAATTACGTCAATACATTTATTTGCTATATTTCATTCCTGCGTTTTTTCATTCATTTTGAGACCGGATTTAATCTCGGAATCCAGAACAATGGTCTTGTGGCTTCACGTTTTCACCAGACCTTCCTTTGGAGTATTCGGATATCTAGACTGGTTTTTATCCCAAGTTTAAAGCCCCTGGTCCGACCTACAATATTTTATCGATTGCTATGCGAAAGAGATGGTTTCATGGCTTTTAAGGTGGCATTTTTGTGAAGTGAACACAACAACCTAGGCTAAAATTTGGCACGCGGATTTCTTTTACGCACTAACAATTGTTGCGCCACTCGTTCGCACACGAACCATTTCCATTACGAATGGTAAAGTATCAAAACACATCATACTTGTTTTACACGAGAAGGAAGAAATATACTGTGCCAGGTTAACAGCAAAATTGTCCAGATAGTGTAACAGCAAAATTGCCCCGATCGTGTAAACGGAAAAAGTTGTCAATATGGTTAACTAGACCATGTAACATCAAAATTGTCCAGATCGTGTAACAGAAAAAGTTGTTTACATCGTGTAACAGCAAAATTGATCAAATGTTAGATCAAGCTTTTTGAAGATATTTTATTGGAACTCTTCGAGGTTTTTATAACACTGTTAGTCTTTACTTTGAGCAATAACAATGTATAATTATTCTCCAAGCTTAACAGAAGAATCATGATGAAATCGATTATAAATGAAAATTATCATCATTAATTAATCATTACCAAACGAGCGGATTCCAGGGTAATTTTCCAATTTATTCAATATGATCTTCACTCTGTCTAACCGTCTAACATTCTGTCTTGGATTAACAGGTTTCACTTACGATTTCATTTTCAAATATTTTTTCACTGCTCTTTGGACTGTCATAGCTGAAACTCCTCTCCCACGTGCTAAACGTCTTATGGATTGAGTTGGGTCTTTTCTAATTGATCTCTTTCGTTCTAAGTTGAAATGATAATCCCTATTCTGTTATTCTGTTGCAGCCTTCTGATCCGGTTCTCTTCTGTTCCCTCTTTTTTGAACTTATTCACCATTCTCTTCATGGTTCTTTAATGGACTTTGAAGATGGAATACAGACTATGAATGTTGGTACCATTACTGAAGGCCTGAATGATTTTTCTTCTCACCATTTATTCAGTTGAGAAGACGTAGTGAGGCTGATACAAAACGATTTTGTCTCTTTCTAGCTGAATGGCTAAAAGCGTTTTTTTTTCAGTGATTCTTACGACAAATGACGTCAAGATGGCTAAAGCTCTTCTCTGAAAATCTGGAAGAAAAGAAACTCGATT